CTGTTTTCCGGTTTGGTCACGTGACGCTCGGCATAAAGCCTCTTATCCCACATGGGATATAGTTTTTCTGTGTGGCCATTTTCCCAGGAGACCAAGAAATGTGCTATTCTTGGTGATGGCATAGTCAATCCACTTTTTATCCAAAATTATTATAATTATAGAGTAGTATGATAAAACTCCTAAAAATGAACCTTATTCAGGGTTGCGACATTTTCATTTTTGACAGGAATGAAAACAAGGCATCTAACCTGACTGAGGTATGTAAGAAGCCATAGCTGTCATGAACTGTGTGGCTGTAATAAAGAGCATATAACAAACAGTCTTTAATAAATCTAACAGGTAACACTCAGGAGATCACATTGTAGTTAAATACACCTAATATATATAGTGTGACTCAGGAAAAATGTATACAATTTCTATTCATATCAATAATATAAAATAGTGAGCATTGGTAAATCCAGCAGATGAGATGTTCGAAGCAGAATGAACGACTTTATAATACAACTCAACAAACCATAAGCATTAACTTGAGACAATGAACAGGAAAACTGAGGGCTTAAATACCCAAGGAAAGATCATAAAAGGAACAGGGGACAGGTCTGAACTAATCAGGAACCATGAAAACTAATGATTGTATGAGAAATGAAAGCGTAGTGAAAGTTCTGCCAGGAAGACTCAATTGTTTCGTCATTTATTACCTTCTCATCTATCCAATCGCGTCCTAATACGCGAAGTATAAAAGATCCATACTTACACTCGTCTGAGTTCGCAGATCCTGACGCTTCCACTTACCACCATCCTCCCCACCTCCACCAAGACGGTATTCCCTCCATCCTTCCCACCACCACCAGGATGGTCCCTTCCAATACCCCAAGGGGGGTCGGCTGCGCCCCTGCCTTCATCTTCAGGCAGGAAATGCAGAATCCGTACCCTCGGATCGCGAGTTATGGACGGGGCCTTCGCCAAAGAACTTTATTGCATTATTTTGCTTGCTGGGCTGTTAATAAAATGCATAATTGTACAGTATCTTCTCTCCCGAGTCTTTCTGGTAGAACTCAGGCAAAACAGTGAGAGTAAGGCCAGGGTGAAATTGAAAGCCTGGAGGGCCTCAGTGGAGCTGCAGGTGGATAAGTGCAGCTGGGAAGAACCGCTGCAGGAACTGAGGGACTGGCCGAACTGGATAGGTTTGGCAGACAAGGAGGGAGAAGGCTGGGCGGTACCATCAGTGACAAAGGATACTTAGAGCTGGGCAGAGCCAATGGTGATGGATAATTGGTGCTGGATGACAAAGACTTGGTGCTGAATGATGAAAATTTTGTACCAGGTTGAAGCAGCGGAGATGAAGATGACTTGGAGCTGGGCTGAACCAGCAACAAGGAAGACGACTTGGGACTGGGCTTAACCAGTGATGACTGAGACGATTTGGAACTGGGCTTAACCAGCGATGACGATTTGGAACTGGGCTTAAACAGCGATGACAAAGATGACTTGGAATTGGACTTGACCAGAGATGACTGAGAATACTTGGAACTGGGCTTAACCAGTGGTGACTGAGGCAACTTGGAACTGGGCTGAACCAGCAGAGACTTCTTCAACTGTACAAATCGGGTTATTACTGGAACTTTTTTTTTTTTGCCTCATGTTCACTAGAAGTCATTTAGACATTTGCAACAGTTTATTTTTTTACACAAAGGTTGATTTTAAGCGATCAATCTGTTTTGTAGTTCCTGGCTCTGTTGTTTTCGGTTGCAAAGGGCTGTGTAAGCGCGGAAAAATGGAAGTCAGAAGAATACAGATCATATTTATTTTGCCTAAGCATGAAGCTGCAGTTTCACAATACATGCATTACACTTACGAATAACAGTAAAATGCTGCAAATATATTTTTCTTACACTTGAAAGGTGATTTACACCTTTACAAATCTTCTCTTGCACATGCAAATTTGATTTACGCTTGCAATCTTATGTACACTTTCACAAATCTTACCCTGCGCATGCGATTCTTTATGGCATCATATTACCTTCATAGGAAGGCCAAATACCAGGGAACCGGTGAAGAGGTTCATGTACACTGGAAGGCGGCATATTTTTTAAATCAAAAATGTAAAATAAAAATACACAACTAAACCAATGGTTTAATCAATTTATAATCAGAATAATGGAGGTTCAGAATAAAGGTTTTACGTGAGATTCTATTAAGATTCTATTAACTCTGATTATTAGCAATAATCACATTATTGGTGTACATGTAAAATAGCAGTATAATTTTAAGTAAAATATTTCAAGTGAAATTGTCATGATTCTGCCTTAGTATCCTTGATTTTCCCTGGTCGTAAGGCAGGATCATGACGGAATAATGTTTTGTGTATAAGCGCATGGCCAATTGTTTGGACCATGTCCGCCCCCTTGTTACCCTCGTCTTGTCATTATTGTCTAGTCAGTTTCACCTGTCCTCGTCATTAGTGTTCCCCTATTTAATCCCCTTGTGTTTGCTGTCCTGTGCTGGTTCATTGTTTCTCATAGTGTGATTTCTACCTGTGTGTTAAACTTACCTGTGAGTACCTTGTGAGAGTTTTGTCTGGAGAATTACTGATCCTGTTTCTGTAGTTAGTTTATGGTCTAGTTTGTCAGTCCTAGTCTAGTCTTGTCATTTCTTTTGCTGTTCATGTTTTGCCCCCTCGTGGGTTTTGTTTTCTCTGTTTTCTGTCTATAATAAACTGTGTCACTGCATCCTGTCTGCGCCTGGGTTCACCTTCCACCGTCATAACAGAAATACAAGTAAAATGGGTTCCTCTTTATTTTGATAGTCCACTTTAGACATTCTACTAAGTAACTTTTCAACTACATGTCAACTAACTATCATTAGAGTATTAGTAGACTGTTAGGTTATGGTTAGGTTTTAGGGTTAGGTTTTAGGGACAGTTAGTTGACATGTAGCTGCAAAGTTTCTTTCATACCAAGCTATACACATCTCAGGAAATTCCTACGACTTTTCTAATATATTTTTGGTAATTTAGACAAACATCAGCAAATAAATCTACAAAGGATATAAAATGTTATACAAGAAATGTTATAAGTGGATATGGGAGCAGTGAAAGCATTAAAAAAAAATAGGCCTCATTTTCTTTTGAATATTTTATGAAAATATTCAATGATGTACATAAAAATAATTTTGACAGCTTGGACATGCTTGATTTTCTTACTTTTTGTTGTAATTCATTTACTTTTAAAAATATATTATTTTTCATGTCTGTTTGCAAGTAGGCCTACATTAAATAATTTTCAAGGATTTAAGCCTTTTTTAGCTTCTAAAACATTCACTCTTGGTGATGTAAACTCGCGCTTGATCGGCCCAAAGTCCGGCATCCTATCAGCACGGAAGATCTTTATGTGTTCCTGTCTTTCCGCGTGGCAAAGGGATTTTTATTAAATGCAATACATTTCTCATATGTATTTTCTCGTTATTTCCTCTGACTCCATAAAATGAAAAGGTTTTTAATGATATCTGTGCATCATTAAATATAAGCGAAAGTTTGACTGATTCCTTTTAACTCTATAATGAAATAATAGCAAAGTCAGTTAGAAGAATCATCAAATGTAACAATTTATTATGTCAGGTAAATTTATCATCAGTTCAAAGATAATCAATACAAAATATCAAATGTTCTGGAATAAAAAAGAAGACGAACCCGACATTAGGAAATAGGCTACGTGAAGCTGAGAGTCTCGCAGACTCCAGCCTTACCCCGGATTTCCACCAACTGCGGAACGGCTGCGGATCCGCTCAGGAACGGCGGCGGAGTCAATAGGTTTCCATCAAAGTCAATGTGTGCATTTTCACTGACTGCGGAACGGCTGCGTTCCGACTCCGTCCCAGCTCCGGCGACCGCAGCCCTCCGGAAAAGATTCGCAGAGTTTCTATTTTTGCCGGATGCCGGAGAGCGCCGCAGGAAGTCGAGCACAGAAACTAAATAAAACATCCGGTAATTTCCAAAATAAAAATATAGTTTTCCCTTTTCCAACAAGAACATTAGTTAACTTTATTTACACAGCCTACTACTTTCCCAATACATTCAAAAAGGAACCCAAATAAACATTTAGCATTTTATAAGTTGATTATATTTAATTATAAATATTGTACTAGAATCACAATAGGCTAATCTCCACAAAAAAGGGAGATCAGCAGGTCAGCACATAGTTGTTTCCCCTGTACACCTCTGGATGGAAACAAACTGTTGCTGGTTTTGTGGTTCTGTTTATAGAAACTACATCCTGTTATATCGCGCGATCAAATGTAAATTCGCGAGATATCGTGTGTCCTCGTGACTTCAGCTGTCAGTCATGGTCGCAGCCGTTCCGCAACAAATCCGTATCTGGTAGGTATTGAAGGACGGCGGAGCACGGATCCGACACGCAGCGGAGCCGATCCGCAGCCGTTCTGCAGTTGGTGGAAATCCGGGGTTACGGGCTCATCTGTGGTACAGAAAAGGCCCTGATCCTTCCGCTGCATTTCATTATATAGCCAGACCTCATTTCATATGTAAACATGAGTTATCAGTGGAATTTTACTGTGATCACCTCCCCAGACTTACTGGGGGTAGAAGTTGACCATTTGCTAACAGTGGGAATTTGCATTCAGGAATTTACATCTTTTGGGGGTAGGACCATGCCTAGATACCACATTCCTTTGTGTGCCAGTTATCCCTAAACTCTTAAAAACCTTATTACCTTTTGTTTTACTTATTTGGAAATAGGACACTTGTACCAGTCGCACTGAGACATTTCAAATAATACTAAACACATGTATAAAACTGTATGATAGTTGTTCAAATTAAAACCATATAGGTTCTTGTGTGAGTTTGGGTGATCTCTGCAAGAGTGGGGGATGCAGGGAAGAAGTGTGTGTGTGTGTGTGAGATAGTTCAAATGTTAATTTGCAGCAAGGTCCTTCGTCTCATAGACCAGTAGTCAGGTCTATCTCTTCAACCAGTTTTTCCAGTCTTACACTGAAATACATGAAACAAAAACTCTGCGCACTGCTCTAATATTTAATCCATAGATTAGGGGATTAAAAACAGGTGGGACTATAACTAATTCTAAAGCCAAAAAAATATGCAAACTCTCAGGAATGTCATTTGATCCATACCTGCTATAAATAACATCAAAAAGCAAAGCAAAGGTGAAATTTATCAGCGATAATATGTGTGGCAGACACGTTTGCCAGAATTTCCTTCTGTTTTCTAAAGATGCTTTACATGCAGAGATCAACCTAACATAGGACACTATGATAACAACTGCACAGCTAAGAAATATAATTGCAACAATATATCCATAGACATTATTCACAAAAGATGATGTACAAGAAAGTTTTACAATTGACCAATTGTCACAATATAATTTATCAATGTGATACTTACAAAATGGCCTCAGATTTGATAACAGCATTGCTGGAATTACAGAGAAGTTGGGAACTATCCATGAAAACAGAATTAATTTCACACAGGTGAATTTAGTTAACTTGGAATGATAGTCTAAAGGTTTGCATATGGCTACATATCTATCATAAGACATCACTGTTAATATTGTAAACTCACACAGTAAAGAGCTGTAAATAACAAAGGATTGCAGAGCACACATGTGAGAGGAGATCACATATGAATCCAATATTAAATCAGACAGAAATTTAGGGTAGAATCCCGAGGCTCCATAAACCCCATTTACACACAAATGAGACAAGAAAATGTACATTGGTTCATGAAGTACTTTCGTCATTATAATGACCATAACAAGACGGATATTAATTGACAAGATAAGCAGATAAAGGAAAAGAAAACAAGTGAAATAGATATGCCTATATGACTTAGATACTTTGGGCACCATAAGAGTCAGTATTACAGGATAAGACATGTTATCCATCAAGTTATGGATATTGCTTAAAATCACACAAAACAATGATATTCTGCAATAAAAAAAATACGTAAGAATAAAAAATATATGGTAAAATGGCTACATTAATTTACAATCTACTCAATCAAAGATGGAGCTTAGAAAAAAGGGCAAACAATCAGATCAACCGATCTTGAGCTGTGTATCTGTGTGTGAAGAGCTGAACGTCTTATAACATTTTTTTTTTTCAGTTGGGAAATTATTTAAAGATATTATATAGCGTCTTGGGATTAATTATAAGTATGGTCCTTACAAACTTTGGAATCCTTATTTTTAACTTGAAAAAAGACAACAAACCAAATAATATGTCAAATTTAGTTTGAATCATTTAGTTTCACTCATCAACGAAGGAACTACTAACGTCACCCAGTCATAGCAGAAAAACACTAGATTGCTGACCTTCACACTGGACCACATCAAACCAAGAGAGTTTTGGCAACTAAGAGAATAGTTTTCACTGTTATGCTGATGATACTCAGCTGTATAATTCTTCGTGCCTTGACGAAACTTACCAGTTTACAAAATCAACGGAATGCATAGTTGATATAAAAACACTGGATGATAGTAATTCTTTCATCTTAAAAATATATCTAAATTATGACATATGCTCTCAATGACAAATGGTGAACAGTTAGTTCATGCATTCATGACATCAAGGCTAGATTATTGTAATTATGGGTCTTATGGGTGGTTGCCCTGCACGCATAATAAAAAAAACTACAGCTGGTCCAAAACGCAGCAGCTAGAGTTCTTACCAGAACCAGGAAGTATGACCATATTAGTCCCGTTCTGTCAACACTGCATTGGCTCCCTATTAAACATTGTATACATTTTTTAATATTGCTGATTACTTACAAAGCACTAAATGGTTTAGCTCCCCAGTACTTGAGTGAGCTCTTAACGCATTATAGTCCTTCACGTCTATTGCAATCTCAAAATTCTGGCCAGTTGATAATACCTAGAATATCAAAATAGACTGTTGGCGGTAGATCCTTTTCTTTTTTAGCACCTAAACTTTGGAACATTGGTCTTTCTAACATTGTCCGGGAAGCAAACACACTGTCAGTTAAAATCTAGACTAAAACCATAGTTTTAACCTAGCATGCACACAACACATTATCAACTTCTATAATTCAATGTTAGGCTGCATAAACTAGGTCAGCCAGAATGGGAACACTTCCCATAACACCTTATGTACTCGTTACATCATAAGATAAATGGCGTCTACGCTAATATTAGTCTCTCTGTTTATCCCGAGGTTTACCGTAGTCTGCCAGATCCAGGCCGTATCCAGATTTGATGAAGGACCTGTGCCTGGACACGACAACAACGCAGTCCTGAAATGTCGACTAGTCTCTCCCCTGTGAAGGCCTCCTTCCCTTCCCTTTAACTTTGTACAGATAAAACGTTATCAAAATTATTCCAGTTCGCATGGATACGCAGAAGCGACTAAAGATATTGTAATGTGAGGGCCAGACATATAAATTTAAATGTGCATACCTATTGTCATGGTGTGGGTTTGGGATTTTGTTCCTTGTTGTTGTCTTCTTCTTCTTCTTCTGTTAATTTTTTTTGGCAGTTTACAGTCAAAGTGTATTACCGCCATCTACTGGGCTGAGATGCAATCAATGAATGTCATTCACAAAAAATAAATAAAGAAAATAAAATAAAAAATTAAATCCTATTTGCCAGTTTTGTTTCTTTGATAAATGATATCATAGCATTAGTGATGTTTCCTGATCTATTCTCACATAATAATGTTTCTAACGAAAAGGCTTTTTTGACTGCATTCACTTCCCTCTTCAGTTTTTCTCTTTGTCTGGAGAATCTTATGCACCTTAAAAGAACATGATCTACATCCTCTCTCACTCCACATATCTCACATTTTCCAGATGGATGTTTATGTATAATGTGTAAGCAATTATTTAAACCAGTATGGCCTATTTTCATTCTTGTAAACCAAACCTCTTCATATCTGTTTGAATAACTATGTTTGCTACTTGAAATATCTTTTTGTATATTGTATAAGTGTCTACCTTTCTTCTCCTTATCCCATTTATCTTGCCATATCTTGTTAACTTTTTGTTTAATGAGTACCTTAACTTCTGATTTACTGAGTGGAATGCTTAATTGAACTTCCTCTTCTTTGGTTGCCTCTTTTGCCAGCTTGTCTGCTTCCTCATTACCATCAACTCCTTTATGGGCAGGAACCCATACAAACTGGATTGATATTCCCTGTAGACTAATTGCAAATATGATATTATTAATTTCAATCAATAAGTGCTGTCGACATGATGATTGTCCATTTTGAATGGATGTGAGAGATGACATAGAATCAGAACAAATAACCGCTTTAGGGGGCCTAACTTCTTCTATCCACTGCAGTGCCATAATAATGGCTGTCATTTCAGCTGCAAATATGGACAGATGATCTGATGTTCTTTTTAATAGAGATTTTGTAAACAGGGATGTAAGCTGCAATACCCATTTTACCCTCTGAATCTTTAGATGCATCTGTATATATCTGTGTTGTGTTATAGTACCTACTTTCTAAATATTGCTCTATGTTCTGATACAGGGGAGACCGGGGATGGTTGTAACAAATTTGACCTTTCTGTCTATATCTTGTAGTACTTTGAAATCAGTGTGTTCAAAATGTGATCCAAACTATTTACAAGTGTCTGCTATTAAATGACATAGCTATTATCTTTGCAACACAAACAGAAAATGCATGGTTTAGTTTCAAACACGAGGAGTGAAATGTTACAATTCACCCCATAGTCTGGGTTAGTTGTAACATACCCTGGGGTGAGATGTAACATTATGATATCCACCGGGGTGATATGTAACATAATGAAATAAGGATTTTGACAAAAAAATCATTTTGAAAGGTTTTTATTCAACACTGACTTTTCAATATAACTGATGTGTGTGTGTCACTCTTAGTCTCAGTGTGTTTGTCACTCTCAGTCATAGTAATTGACCATTATAAATTGAACTTGAACACAAACATTGTTTGTAAGCATGTTTGTTACTGCCAGTGTTAGTATTGGCCATAATAAAATTGAACACTTGAACATTGTGTGTGTGTGTGTGTGTGTGTGTGTGTGTGTGTGTGTGTGTGTGTGTGTGTGTGTGTGTGTGTGTGTGTGTGTGTGTGTGTGTGTGTGTGTGTGTGTGTGTGTGTGTGTGTGTGTGTGTGTGTGTGTGTGTGTGACTCTGTTGTTGCTCTGTCATATAATTGACCGTAATAAATTGAACTTGAACATTATATTTGTGTAAGCACGGTTGTCACTGTCAGTCTATAGTATTGGCCATAATACAATTTTAATAAAATTTTAAATAAATTTTAATTCATTGTTGTTACAACTAACCCAGAGTCTTGTTGTTACAACTAACCCAGAGTCATGTAGCCATGAACAAGGTCACCTTACAGCTAACAGGCAAAAAATTAGCACTATAACAACTTGCATGGAAAATATCTACACAGACACACAATAAACATAATAAAAGTTTGATGAGTTTGACTACAAAGCAGAAATTCCCATAACAAAAACAAAAAAAGTAAAAAAAAGTTACTTTCTTACCTCAAAATAGTTTTTTCCACTTTAACATGTGCTGTGTCTGCCACAGGGCTCTACTTTATCACATGTGGAATAAGAACTAAACTAAGCGTGTGTGCAGTGAATCAGGTGATTTGTAACTAGTTCCTGATTGGACAGATTGGAATTGTTACAACTGACCCCTGTTACAACCATCCCCGGTCTCCCCCACTCCTATATTTATCTCTTTAGTTTCCATATTCACCATAGGGAAACAAAACAACCAAGGTGGAGTTGTTCCTAGGGGCACAGTCTTGCTACAAATAATATTGTCACACAAGGTGACAAATCCAGCGGAACCGCTAGGAGTGTGTTTCCCCCCCGGGACGATTTCACTGACACACCGTGCTGGTTTGCTTGTTGTCAGTTGCCATGACAGTGGCAGCTGATTAGCTAAGCGGTACCAGGTGCGGGCGTTTGGTGTGGGGATTTGTGATTGGGAAACACGGCCTAGAGAAGCAGTTAAAAGGAAAAGGAAAAGGCATTCGGGTGTGGTACTCCCCCGGGAGAAATCGATTCTTTTGGCAGTGGCTTGGATTTGCTGGGATCTTTGGAGCGGCTGTGAGGATCTGACTGGAAAGGGGTGCAACGGTGATTGTGGGAGTACAAGCTGGAATGTGAATTGGATGTGAAGTGAGGGTATTTTGGAGATTGAGTCAAGATTGGAGAATGTCATCACTCGAGAGGGAAAGATAAGTAATGAAACACCGGATCCGTGTGAATGCATGCCGTGTATTGAACTGAATGAGGAATTGTGAAGTGTATTGACCACAAATATAATTACCACCAAGAGTGTGAACTGATTCATCCGTGAAACCCTGATATCTTTTTCTGAGTGTGAAAGAGTGTTGAAGACGCTGTGTTTCATGCGGTGTGAAGTCCTCTGCATCTCTTCAGCTTCTGAGTGTTGATCCAGCGCAACAGTGGAGGGATTGAACAGTGGGTGAGTGCTGGCCTTATTGCACGAAGATTTGAGAGTGGATTGCGGTGCCTGAATTGAAGTGTCACACAGTATTGGACTTGACGTGAAGTTGCAGTGTGTGGATGTACACGTTTATTTAACTGCCAGTACTCTCCAGGTCACGTCCTTGCCCAGTGTTGCGGAGCAAAGCCCTCAGGTTGAATGTGTATTCCATTCCGGCCACCAGGTCCTGTGACATGAGAAAGGTGTGATTGTCCTGTTTAACTTGTCTTTACTATCTAAATAGAACGTTCCTCTGCCACCGCCTTCGTGTGTGCTGCCTGTTCGGAGGAGAGACACACCCCAGCCTTAGTGTTGCCGTGGGAACCACCCAGCCCAGCCGTAAGCCTGAGTCTCCATTATACGAAAGGATCATGTTTGTTCTTGTATCAAATGCTCCGTCTATT